GAATTATATCCAGGCTTCATCTACTGTTATAGCTGAGACGACATTGAATTTTATTATTTTGTGTCCTCATGACTCACACAGTGAATCACGATCCAGGTTTAGGGGACTGGGGAACATGAGTTTGAAACCTTGTTCTGTAAGAATTCACAGGGTGCTGGGGTGCACCAACGGACAGTGCGTCATTACCTTACGGAGCGATAATGACTAAGAGCCAGGACTGCCCACTAAGGTTTTAAAACTAAGCACCGTGGAGCCATGGGGTTCCCTTGAGCTGGTTCAGGGCCTGCTGGGGCTGGGGGGGTGGCTTAGGAAGGGGTGCTGAGTGGGCGGGGCTCTGGCTGCCTACCTTCTACACAACCAGAGGACCGCCATGTTTTTCCGTCTTGCCCATTGGGATACCACACCGTCTTCTCTGCTAGAAGAGGTTGAAAATGGCTATGTTTCCAAAAGCTCAAAGAATGACTAATTCTGCCAAAAAGTCAGCCTTCTTTGAACAGGAGATGTAGGAGCAGAGTCTCTCTCTTTCCATTTTTTTTTTTTTAACTTGGCTTTATAATGCTCACTTAAAAAGAAATTTTATGAGCAAAGGGTAGAAAAAAGGAGAAATACCCATAATCTCAAAAAGCACCTATGTACTTTTAAAACCTCCTACCATTTTTCCACAAAGCTGACATCTTCTAGATATTAAATTGATATCCTGATTTTTTTCACTTAATGTTATAACATTTATCATTTTTCCCATGATGTTGTCATGTGTCAAAAGTATTTAAAACTTGGAAATTAGGCAAAAAGATGCTCGTATGTCCTTCCAATGGTAGACTGGAATATTCTCTAGACCCTTTCTACTCAAAGTACGGACCAATGGCATTGGCATCACCAAGGAGAGAGAGATCATACGTGTATGTGAGTGGGGGGGGGGGGCGAGACAGAGAGAGAGAGAGAGAGAGAATCCCAAAGAGGCTCTGCATTGTCAGCGTGGAGCCCAAAACAGGGCTGCAACCATGAACCGTGAGATCATGAGCAAGTCAGAAGCTTAACCAGGTGAGCCCCTGGGGCGCCCCTGAACATTGTTAAGATGAGCAGTATTGGAGTTTGTCAAATGGACAGGAATGGAAGGGCCTTCCAGGCGGCCAGAGCAGCCTGCAGTGGCTAGAGAGCACAGGTCTGGCTGGTGAGATGATGCAAACCAGCGAGGGCGTGAGTGACAGCCTGGTAAGGGGCTGGCAAGGTAGGAAGGAGATCAGACTGTAGAGAGCCTGGGACCCTGGGTTATGTATTCAGTGTAAAGGGAAGCCACCAATAGTGTAAGCAGAGAAGCAACATAAGAACTGCATTTTAATAAGACCACTCCTGGGCGCCTGGGTGGCTCAATTGGTTGAGCATCCAACTTTGGCTCAGATCATGATCTCACCCTTTGTGGGTTCTACCCCCGCGTCGGGCTCTGTGCTGGCAGCTCAGAGCCTGGAGATGCTTCAGATTCTGTGCCTCCCTCTCTCTCTGCACCTCCCCTGCTCACCTTCTATCCTTCTCTCTCAAAAATGAAATAAATCCTTTTTTGAAAAAAAGAGACAACTCCTAATGGCCTCCCTGGGCCCTGAAAGGGTGCTGGACCTGGAATAGTGACTGGGGATGGGAACAAGAGAACACAGAAGAGACATAGAGAGGTCCAGGGGCCTGGCCAGATCTCCAGCCCTTTGGCGGTGAAGACAAGTCCCCACGGTCTGACTCCCCACTGTAGTCCTGCCTTTATTTGGGGTTTTATCTGAGATGTGACTTCTTAAAGCTGCAGGACGCTCCGATTTTGTCCCCTAGATGAGCTTGTTAGAATCATGACACATGAATACGAGCCCTGCCAAAGCACAAGCCACATATCCAAGACGGATGGCATCACTAAAAATAAGAAGGGATTAAACACACATTCCAGCAAAGTGACAGGGCATTCTTGTGGAATTTGCTAGACTAAACTGCTGTGGATACTCTTAACTGTGTCTGTATCCACAAAACCAGACCTCCAGCGCGGCTTTGCCAGGACGTAGATTTCTGACGCGGAGGGGCAGGCAGTGTCCCTGAGAAGCCACCGGGTTATCCAGGGGGCTCGACCGCAGCTGTCCCACACCGAGCTCCCAGCCTGTCTCAGCGACTCTCTGTCCGCGAGAAGGTTCTGCAGACTTGTGTCCCAGGACCACGCGCTGGGAATTTTCACAACACTGATTTTCCCTCGCAGTCCCCTGTTCACAGGGGGGGAGCGGAGGGCGGCATCCCGGCTGTCGAAGGTCGCACCCGTCAGCCCTGGTGCCGCAGGGCGCATCGGTGCAGGATGCCACGAGAGGTTCTGAATGTGGGGCTGACTCAATGCACAGCTTTTTAGGGGCACGAACCCAAAGGCATGAATCTGCCTTTACAGACGTGACTCTCCAGTCTGAGCCAGATTCAAAACGGGCGTGTGATGACAGACTTCAGAGCCCGTTTCGGTCCCACTACCTCCCACCCTTCCAGGAGAGCTCAGCGGCTGAAAACCACGCTTTGTGACAGCCCCTACAGAGCCGGGGTGGGCACCGGGGGGCAGTGTGTCCACACGGGGCAGTGTTGCTGGCAGTGAGGACAAACATGTTACAGCCTGGAGGAGGCCCCCATGCACAGCGTTGAGAGGAAGAGCCAGACGCGGGAGCTCAGGCTGTGCCTTGCGGGTGCGCTGAGGACAGGAGCAGGCGCAGCTCCCCAGGGCCGCGGCAGTCGGGGCCGCCGTGACCTTTCTGGGGGTGTTGGCGGGAAAGGAGCGCAAAGGCGACTTCGGGGGCTCTGGTCACGTTCCGTGTCTTATTCTGGGTGCTGGTGGCACGTGTGCGTTTAGCAGGCACTGGATAAGGCTTCAGCGAGCCGTGTCCTTGGGTTGTATTCACTTCTCTCTACGGATATTAGACATCAGGAAATAGTTTTTAAAAATTGAAAAGTAGCCAACCATGCACAACCTCAAAGATGTCTCCCTGAGGGTAATGATGGGAACATCAACTTCCACTTGTCAGAGTTGGGTTCTGCCAGGCGCTGTGCTTGGGCTCGGTGTGTATTAGCCCCTTGAATGCGCTGCAGGGGAGCTCCTTTCCCCGTTTTGCAGATGAGAGAAATGGGGCTCAGAGAGGTCAAGTGCCTTGGCCCAGGTCACATAGCCAGTGAGTATATACAGCAGAGAGGCCTCCTTTCCATTCCCACGATGACTACTCTGTGTAGGCAGTTTTCTTTCATTTGCCTCCATGTAGGAAGGGATGGTCTCTGCCCGATTTTCTCTGAGATAATGTTCTGGATTCAGGGTCTACAAGGGCAACTGTGGCAGCTCGTCGGCCTCATGAAGGGCCATCCAGCCCCTCCCCCTGGCACACACCCCTCCCCCCCACTCCAGCCGTGGGAAGGGACCCTGTGAGATGGAGATGCTCACCTTGGCTCTTATCACCAGGGCACAGTCAACAAATGACCTGTTTAACTAGCAGGTAGTCTAAGAAGAGCACCATCAGCTAGGCACTCGGCGGTGTGGCGTTGCAGGCTCAGGTTTGGGGGTTTGGGGTTGGCTGGACCTGAGTTCAAATCCAGACTCTGTACTCAAGCCATATGGCCCAGAGGAAAAGGCTTGTCCTCTCTGGGCTTCCCTGGTCCCCCTCTGTAAAACGGGTATTGAATCCCTCATCGGGTGGTTGTGTAAAGCAGACGGCAGATTACAAGAGAAACACGGGGCCTGACACGGGGCCTGACACGGGGGAGCATTTGGGAAGAGGTAGCTGGGAGCCAGGAAAGGGGATGTAAACGGTGCTGGTCACTGTGAGGCAGTGCGGTGCCCAGTCACTCCACGCAGCTTGAGTGCAGAATCCCTGGGCTCCCATGATTCGTGAAGCTTCCTGGTCAAGGTGGAGACTCAGCTGGCCTTCAGCATCCGGCTAGGTTTGGACAGGCCTTCTCCAAGGAGCGGATGGCCCAGCTTGGACGCAGACCAGGGGATGGGCCAGCTGGGCGCCCAAGAGAAACAGTGGCTGCCCAGAGCGGAGATTTTCATCTCTTTTGCAGCGAGCTTGCGTGGGCGGTGGATGTTAGGGGAAGGCTCCTATGCAGCAAGGGCACAGCGGATGCTTTGAATTCTACAAAACCAAACCGCACCATGACCAGTGGCGCTAAAGCGTAGCCAAAGGGTACAATTAGTGTTGAGTTAACACATGTTACACAGTCAGTTCTCCGGCAGGAGGGTGGGGGGCCCTGACTTGTCTACCAGTTTCTGCAGTGTGAATGCACACACTGCATTTCAGACTACCTCTGCAATGCCGATAGACGGGGAGTGAGGAAGAGGAGCACACAGTGGGCTCTGGCAGGCTCAAGGCCGTTCAGGCACACCTCTGAGTTTCCATGAAGCTTGGGGAAACCTGCCTCACCGAGGCACGGGCCGGGACTGTGCATGGGCTGGGACTGCGCACAGTTCCCACTGAAGACCAGAGCCCAGTGCTTCAGGAACAGCAAGGGTATGCGGTCCGCCAGGCCCGGCCCTGAGGCCGGGGACAGATGGTGTCCCAGCCCCTGCGCAGCGACAGTCTGTCAGGAAGCTGGCACTGATCCAGTGCTTGCACTGAGCTACACGCTGAGCTGAACGCTCAGAAAGAAGTCCTGACTTACGCAGAGGCACGCCCACGCCCTTCCCCGCAAAACCGTAATACAAGGGGGTCTTCTGTTGCCCTAATCGAGAAGAGTGCGCCTTTTAAGGCTTTCGCCGCACTATGTTCACTTCGTGATATTTAAGTCAGACTTGTTGTTGCAACCCTTTCAAGACCCGGGGCTTGGATTTCAACTGCCTTTTCCAACCCTGCTGAAAACTCCACCGGTCTGTGACCGGGGGAGAGCTGGACAGAGTCTAGTCTTCGGTAACAACCGTCTGGACTCCTCCATGGGAGGTTCGCTCCAGGGGTCAGGCCCAGGGGGGGCTCTGTCCTGCTACGGGCACAATCATCCCCTTTTGCTTTGCCTCCTAGGTGGTCTTCGAAGCCTTGCACAACCTGGAGCCGCGTGGCTATGTTGTGGGGTGGATCATTGCCATAAGTTTGCTGGTGGGAATCCTCATCTTCCTGCTGCTGGCTGTCCTGCTCTGGAAGGTGAGTCTGGTGACTGCGGGGCCCATGGAATCCCCACCCCGGGTGACCAGCCCTCCTGCCTCACAAGGAGCCTCTAGAAAGAAGCTGCCTTTTGGGACATCCTTCATGGTGGGGGTCCAGTGGAGCGAGGTCAGTGCCCCCTCAGGCTCGGATGGACTCTTGGTGCCACTTGAGGCCATTCATAGCCAGGAGCAGACACCTGAGCCCCGCTCGGTTCTCACCTTCTCACGGTCCTAATGGGAAGGTGGGAGCTGGACTCCACAGTGAAGCCCGGGAGGAACAGCGGGGACCCGGGTGGCTCACCATTTGCTTGAAGAAATAAGCCAAGGAACCGCTGAGCAGTTCTTTGTTCTTTTCCCATGTGGAATACGAGGGGGATTTAGGCCCTGAAGACTCGGGTCACTCAGATGAGCTGCCGTCCAGAGCTCTGCCTGGGGAGCTGCCAGGTCCGCTCTCCCAGCCCCTGGTGGGAGGGGAGCCAGGGGGTAAACTTGGCCTGCTTCCTGTGCCAGGGACGCCTGCCCCTCCTCCTTGCCTCTTGTCACCTCCCCAAGGAGAAAGGGGTGTCCTCGCCCCAAGTCTGGGGTGGTTTCTTTGCCTCACACTCTCAGAGCTCTGGAGTCCCCGCGCTTCAGAGCCTCTATCCTCGTCAGTAACAGCCTCAGCACCCTCGTCTGGGGAAGGTGTGTCCTCCGTGGCCGTCACGCTCCGGGTGAGTGGATCCGGCCCCTCGGTAGCACCAGAGCCCGAAGCTGGGGCTCGTTGCCACCAAAGCTCTGCCTTTGTTGTTCTAGGGTGTCAGATGCAGGTGGAAACGGGTGCTTTCCGTTCAAATAATGAGTTTCTTTGGGATTACAAAATAATTTGTGTCTATCGGTCAGGCACTGTAACAATAAGGAAAAAAGTATAGAACACCCAGGAGTCCGCATCTCAGAGTAACTCAGTATCGTCTCTTCTGGACCTTCCTCTCCGTGCAGTGATGTAGCCCAGGCATTCCCACAGCTCGCACTTACTGTCGAGTACGATGTTGACCTTCCCAGTCATCCACACGACGTGCCCGGAGGGGCAGTACCTCTAAAGTTAAAACCAGGGGTTCATTAGTCATCTGGGAAAAAAAAAGCATGATCGACGTACTCCTATCCAAGAAGTCTAGAAACAGGAAACTTTTCACTACACATTCTTCAGGGTGACAGTCGGGCCGATTGCTTTAAATGTAGAGCTGTGTCACCTGGAAACGCTCCGGAGGTCTAAAGAAAAATATATGGAGCACATTCCTTGAAGTTTAACTTATGCCCCCGTGCTTCTCGGACATTCCATGTACTCATTTTCAGCCTTCCCCCCACCCCCCAGGCACAGTACTGTGACCATCTTCCCATGTTGTTAAAACTACTACCAGGATGGCCATGAGGCCGCAGTGCCAGCAGGCGCCCGTCCTGTCCCCCAGTGCCGGAATCTGGGTGGCTCCTGGCTTCATACCCCCTTGAAACGGTGCCATGGTGAATATCCTTAGAGCCAAATATTTGCACAAATCCTTCATTATGTACTTAAGATGAAACCCTAGAAATGGAATTACCGACTCAGAGGAAATGCCTACTTTAAGCCTTTTATTACATCCTGCAAATTGCCTCTAGAAAGATTATACCCATTCCCCCTCCCACAAGCGCTATTATCAAAAGTGTCCATTTTCCTATATATTTGCCAGGAGTGGATATTACCTTTAAAAAAAAAAATCTGCCAATGTGTTGTTTGTTTAATCTGTGTGGCCAGATAGGTTCTCAGCTTCCCCTTCTTTCCTCCAACTCCTTCCTGCCAGGGCGGCCTCTGCTCTGCAGGCAGAGAACAAAGCCAGATCCGTGTTTGGGATCCGCGAAGACTGTAAGAGCTTTGGTTGCGGGGTGTGTGTGTATGTGTGTGTGTGTGTGTGTGTGTGTGTGTGTGTGTGTGTATGTTTCTGCTTCTGCCTTTGGGCTCTCACATCCAAGGCTGAGTATGTGAGACAAACCAGGGACAGCGAGTGGGGAGTATGGTGGCCAGGTGGCCAGGCCCCATTCCTGCTCATGATGGGAATGCCCTCCCTCTGGCCACCGCCTTGACTCCGCCAGTCAGGGCTGTGCCCCATCTCTGTGTACACACTCTTGCCTTCCCCCACCAGCCATCTGCTTAGCTTTGCTTCTGCTGTGTTTATTTAAAGAAAGAGGTAGCAGGAGGTGGCTGCCCTGGGTAGCGGGACCCGGAGGTCACCAGCTGTGTGTGATCCGAAGTTCCAGGACCTGAGAAGGCAGCCACCACCCTGTACTGTGGACGGGGAGGGAGGGCAGAGTGCCGGCACTCAGGTGGTGGCATTACCACAGACCAGGTCTTGCCATTACTAATGAGGTGGCAGAGAAGGGTCTAGAACACCTGTAAGGAAGCAGTCAAATGACACCCAAGTGGAAAACCACTTCCCAGAGCGATATTTCATTTCAGCTCACATTTGTTGAACATTTGCTGTGACCCAAATACCAGTAGGTACCTGGGTACAACGGGGACCGTGACCCCTCCCTGCCCTGGAACACTTCACCTTCCAGCACACAGACCCCATACAGGTAACAGAGGGTGACGAGCGTGTGCAAACTTCTCTGGAAACTGAGAAGAAGGTACCGTTAGTCCCTTACCCTGGGGGGGATGGAAAGGCCACCGAGCACCGTGTGAGAGGTGAGAGCAGGACTTTGCCGACCCACAGCTGCGCTCCAAGACCCTGGCTGTCATGCTTGCCGGCTGTGTGGCTGGGGAGGGTCACCCTTTGGGACCCTCAGTCTTCTCCTCAGTGGAACGGAGACCACAGCCTCTAACCTGAGGCATGGAGAGGACACAGGCAGAACGCTTAGCACTGAGCTGAACACACAGAAGCACCCGAGAAAAGTCAGGGGATGTTTCACAAGTGAGGTGTCGTCCAGGCCTGACCTTGGAATCGGGTTGAGTGCTCCAGGCAGGGAAGAGCAGATGGATGTCCCCTACAGAAGGCAAAGGAGGTGAGAGCGCCAGCAGCGTGAGAGGTGGGTCACGGGCGAGTGAGACGGTCGACCTCGACTCTGACAGCACCCGCCAACCAGGGGAAGGGGGGTGTCAGGCAGAGCAGGGGAGCACAGTAGAGCAGGACTTGGTGGCCAGCTGGACCCGGAGGTCAGGGAGGAATACAGTCCCTCGCTGTTTTCATTAGACACGGATGGTTCCGCTTAGCCAGAGGAAGGAGGGTGGGATGTGAATGCACCGCGAAAGAGCAGCAGCTTGGCGTGAGGCATTCTGAGTGCAAGGTGCCTACACGGCACTAGACCGGGCGCAAGTCACTCCCCAGCCCCTCACCAGGCAGGGGCAAGGCCGACAGACGCACACCCGTCACCTCGCCAGCCTACCCGCGTTACATCTTACAGACGTGTGGGTCAGGGATCCGGGAAGGGTTTGCCTGGGTGATGCCTCTGCTCCCTGTGACACTGAGTGGGGTCACTCAGTGGCATGTCCCTGGTGGCCAGACTGGTCTGCGTCCTAGACAGCTCCGCTCACACTCCTGGCACCTTGGTGAGGATGGCCGGGGGCAGGGGCGGGACTCAGCTGAGCCCCTCTCTCTCTCCATGTAGACTTAGAACCTTCCCAGGCCCCAGGGTGGGGCCTGACTTCTTACAAGGAAGGGGAAATAGACCCCACGTCTTAAAGGGGGAGCAACGAAGAGTCCGTGGCCGCCTTTCATCTGCCGCATTCACGATGTTCAGAAATACGGGCAAATGCTCCATCTTTTCTTCGCGACTGTTTTAAAGTAGATGAAACCTCGCCTCTCTCCATATGGTCATCGGTGAAACCATGATTGGGCTCCTTTGCAGAAAAGGGAATAAAAGTAAATCTTGGTGCAATATTCATGAATACGCTCGGCACTCAGCATGGGTAATCTCTTCAGGCAAAGCTGCAATGCAGGAAGGAGGCTGGCAGAGGGCCTGTAAGAAAAATATCTTCTTTCTTTTTTTTTCTTTTAGAAAAAAAGAAATGAGTTGGGGGGGGGGGGGACAGAGGGAGACAGAGAGAATCTTAAGCCCCAACACAGGGCTCGATCCCATAACCCTGAGATCACGACCTGAACCGAAATCAAGAATCAGATACTCAGCTGACTGAGTCACCGGGGTGCCCCAATATCTTCTTTCTTAAACAGCTGACTAAATATGATGACTTTATAGGAGGTTGAAAATGGCAAACAAAACGTAGGGTTATTTCAATGACCTACATCTTCCTAAAACTTCACCCCCAGACCTCCTGTCAACCGCAATTTCTGTGTCTGCAGCCTCAGAACGACGCCTCACGCAGTGAGTTGAGAGCCAGTATCACACTGACAATCCAGTGCCTGGAAGTCTGTCGATCAGCTGGACTAAAACCCGGCCTAATGCGTAGCTTCCACGGAGGCCGCCGGTCCGGGCTGAGCGTTCGTACAGATTCCCCGCCGTCCTGTCAAGGGGAAGCCGCCGGAAGTCCCCCGTTGCCGCTGCTGCGCGGCGCGAGCCTCACCGGGGCCTCTCTCTGCCCCGCGGGGCCGCGGCTCTCCAGGTTCCCTCTCGCGTGGCTCCGCCGTCGCTCGCTACGGTTGCGGCCGCCGCCTCGAGCCGAGGTGACAGGGCCGTCCCCGAAAGCCCCGCACGCGCATGCGTGGTGGCGCCGCACAGGCCGGCGGCTCCTCGCCCTCACGTCGAGAGACGGCCGCAGGCTCTGGGCAGGACAGCGGGCACCAGCCTTAGTCGGGGAGACCCCCGGGGGGTGCGGCCGAGCCACCAGGGGTGGCGGCGGAACCAGGCCTCGCAGCCGGAGCAGGGGCCACGGAGCTGCGCCGCCGCAGGGCCTCCTGGTGCCGACGCCACTGCCCCTCAGTGTTTATCTGAAGGGACCGCCTCCCAGGTGCCAAGAAGCCTGGTCGCGGCGGGACGCAGACCCGCCCCCCGCACCCCTGCAGGCCCGGCTCCAGCCCCAGCCCCACAGCCAGGGCT